TTTAAGAGCTCTAAACTGAACTGACTGATAAGACGAGAGCTCTAAACTGACACTGAACTGACTGCCAAGCAATCAGTCAGTCAGTCAGTCTCATCAGTTTGGATTGATTGTTAGCAACTCTGGTTCTCACGCACCCAGCTCTCGTCAAGCTCAAGATCGTGGTTCCCAGCGATGACGAGTTTCAGTTCCGCATCGACCGATTTGATGTCTTCTATTGCGCGTTTGAAGCTAGGAAGACCGCCGACTTGTGTTAGGTCGCCGCAGTGTAGGAGAACGTCGACTTTTGGCGCCGGGTTAGATGACGAATAAGGCCATGCTCCATGGGTGTCAGAAGTCGTCAGAAAGCAGATTGAAGATACCATATTGGATGTAGGGTAGTATAGAGATAGTAATATCGAGCAGATTGGTGATGGGGTGGACAGTTGTACTTTTACTGAAGATAGTGCGGTGAAACTGGTGTAGAAAGAATTCGTCAAAGAGTGAAACGTTTCATACTCTCTAATACTTGTGAGTCACACGGAGCGGCATAGTACGGTTCATCCATACAATGATTTCTCGAACCTTGGTAATGTAAGCGAGTTTCAACAAACGATATTGATATGATGGACGTGCTGGTGATAAGACGCAGGCACAACGCTGTCGAGTTACACTGTATCGTATCGCAATAGAAGTGTTCAATAAATGATATGACACGAAAATGCTCTCTTAGTTGTTGGAGTATAGGAGTGATGGATTCATGCGCCGGATGATTCTGGCTATATAGGCAGTACGCTAGGGGGTATGGAAGGTACCAATAACAACATGAGATGGCTGTTCCTTCTTCATTAGCGATGCATCCTCCAATCATGTCTTGGATACATCAACGCATCATGGTTCACTGAGACACGTTGCCTTTTGGAAAAGTCTAGCCAGGGTGTTTTTGGAACATGTTTGGTAGGAGCCACAGCCACAGTGTGGGAGATTACGGCATTGTACCATGTCTACATCAGCTCTCAACGGTGACGACGAGCCAATAACTACCGCCGAATTTACAGTGTTTTATGTACAACAGGCTTTATAGAGAACTTACGTCCCCTGGATTATTGTGATTCTCATGATCGAAGTCCTAGTATGTCGAAATGAAATGGTCATCGAAGCGCCTCATCACACGGCTACAGCGCTTAGAAGGACAAAGCCACGATACAACGAAATTGAATTATGATAAGTCAATCTTCGTAGAGTTTGTCCAAGTGACAAGGACTGATGTTCTTGCGAAAGAGCAGTCGCGGTGATTACGCTGATAAAGGCCATCTCAGTTGGGCATTATAGGCGTGTTACAGATTAGAATAAGTACTTCGCGCTCTTATTTACTGGTGCCTAACCGTTCTGATTCGTAGTCATGCGTTATCCTATTCCGAAAACTCGGGTTCACTTGAAGTTACGGCTGCTATTGTGAAGTGTCAACATCAAGTGAAAGGGAGATTCTATTGTCCTTTTGACTAGAACCTATTGTACAAGCCATGCGTCAATAGCTGTTACGAGCTTCAGGAGACACTATTGTTCGTTCAGGGATAATCAAGCAGACATGTATCTGAGCTCTGCACGTTTGAACCATTTCTCAACTTCGACAGCTTCTCTTAACTGTCTGACTCCATCTTCTGAACAAATTCTTCACTTTACCAACTACCACTATTATCAGTCACTATCATGGCATCACAAGAGAACGTACCAGGATCACCTAAGTCGCCTCGATCTAGGCATCCTCGACCATCGTTGACTGGCCTTTTCGAAGGTCTCAACATCGAACCTAGTAGCACCTCTCCGACTGTTGGCAGAAATAGGGATAGGCCACAGACGCAAGGTTCCGAGGCGTCCGGTCACTCTTCTCTTCGAGGTTCTCTGTCGCAACGTTGGCCGCCCTCCTTCTCGGGGTCCGATGTTAGCATCGATGCTCCTGGCGATCAAGAACATCGCAATTTGTAAGTTTTTCAAAGGAAAATTCACATGTTGAAGCGTATGCTAATGTAATTTACGACAGATCTCCTAGCGTTACTCTTCGGATGAGCGACCTGTATCGTCAGCACGGTGACAATTGGGCACGCGATAGTAGCGTTGAGGATTTGCCAGTGGACAAGACCGATGACTTCCAGCTGGTTTCGAACATGATGGATGAAATCCACCATTATGTTGTCACGCTAGAAGAGAACAAAGACAAACTCGCGAGCATCATGATGGAAGAGATGGCGAAAGTCGTTCATGGCTCGAACGAGAAATCCCGGAAGGGTCTTGGTCTCGACGAGACTATGGAGTATTGCCGCATGGTCTTTGAGGGAGTGACTGGGCTGGAGTACAGTGAGAGGTATGTCACCATCGACCGAGAATTCATTTTGATTGCCGGCTAACATGTGCATTAAAGGACTCCGGAGTATCAAGCCAAGTTGGAAAAACTAGTTTTGAAAGACATGGAGTTTGCTCCAAACCATATTGTCAGGAGCAGGCGCGAAGTTGTCCAACATGCAGCAGCTTTCTACCACATCGTAACCTCCTTCGTCACCAACGACATGATGATAAGTGAGGAACTCATCAAAGAAACCCATCAAATCCTCGTCAACGGCATCGGGTCTGGAAGCGCGGGGTTTCTCAGCAACAAAGAGCATGGCGGATCTTACCGCACCGAAGATGTCTTCGTGGGTGCTATGGCACTACCAAAGGCCAATACCATACCTGCTGCTATGCGGTCAATGGTTCGGAAGCTGGAGAAAGATCTTGATGCAGCAGTCAAGCTCGGGCGACTTGACCCTTTTGCTCTCGCCGCCGAGTACTGCGACCGCTTCGTCAACATCCACCCCTTTCGAGACGGAAACGGACGCATGTGTCGCTTGGTGCTCAATGCCATACTCATTAAGTATGCCGGCATCGTGGCCAACGTTGGCGAGCATGATCAGAGTCGCGATGAATATCTCGACATTGCTCGGGAATCTACAGAAGTCGGAGGTCATGCAGGAGCTCTTGGAAGCTTGGTTCTGACAGAAGCGAAGAATACGTTGCGACGGATGAAGGCCAAACTTATGCCAAAGAAAAGTTGAATCTTACACTCGGTTTCTTGCAGAGTATGATCAGGCCATTAGATAGTCGATTATGTGAACTTGAATTAGGTAGCCTTTCCCCAATTTAATGGCAGACCGATCACCACTATCTCATCACTTGTCCTTCTTCTCTTACGACAACGAATACTACTCTACAGGTCCAAATTTCTGACGAGCACGATCTGGCTTGAGCCAGGGGAACTTCTCGTTCACTTTGTCCTCCAACTGGCGAAACCCGTTAGCATAATGCGGCGAGCTCAATGAGACGTCGCAGCCACTTACGTCAGGGAATTTTCGGCATGTTAGCCATACGAGCATTGTTAGACTTAGCGTAAGGAACATGAATACTAGGTACCACCACCATGGTGGATTGTCTGCCAGAATGTTGACATTCATGCCAAACAAGCCCTGATTGGGATCAGCAACGAAACTCAGTCGGTAATTGTTGATCACGCGTATCACGTACCGCAACGAATGTGAGTGGTAGGAAGATGAACTATAAAGTTAGTCGTGTCTGCAACTCGAGACGGTGCTGCACTTACCGTAATCCAGCTAAGTCGCTTCAGGCTTATATTCAGCGAAGTAGACCTTTGCGCTTCTCTGATAGATACCAAATTGAATTCCTAAATGCTTCTTAGCGACTTTGATATTGTCAATCTGAAGAGATAGACGTGGGTTGGGTCATAGGCAGGCGTGGGTGCTGCATTAGCATAATACTTACCAACTGAATAAGCGCAGATGATACCGCATCAAACTCGTCAAATCGTGATTTGATAACATCTTCAAAATCGCTGATAGTGTACACGACTACTTTGGAAGCCTGATCTTCATAACCTTGATTCTCATATTCATTGCAGAACTTTCGAATGGCCTCCACCTGGGTGAGAAGTCGGTGACGAAAATTGATCCATGTAGTTGCATCATTCAAAAGACGGCGGATGAGATAACGATGTCCTCCATTTTGTTTGAGAATATTCAAACGCTACACGAGATCAGATTGGTCAGCGTTCTTTGATCTTGTGGTTAGGTAACATGGAGTAGTCTGACTTACACAATCCATTAGATATTGATCGACGTTACGACAAATTCCGGTCCAATGTGTTCTGAGTTCATTCACCAAGATCTCGACAAACGCTAGTCCACTGCTTGGTATCGAACCGTCAGAGAGCGTACTACCGTGGTCCATGCTGATCCATCGATCGTTGCCAGAGAAATCTGGACGTACTCCCACATTCCAACTGATCATCAATCTCTCCAATCCGAACCCGAAAGACCCATCGTGTTTTATGTACATTGACGACGGCGTCCCGACTTCAAATCGGTAATACGGCCCTTGATAAGCTCGATTTGGTACGTCAGGGGACACCTGGATTATTGTAACTGCGTAGTTATCTGCAATCCTTGTCTCCTCAAACGACGAGGTGCTATTCAGATACGGTTTAGGCAAATTTCCAGAGTCACAATATATTCTGTTGCTCGAAGTCAGTAGGTTGCGGAGTGAGCCTAGACAAGGTTTGGGCCGACACTTACAGCAGTCTTCTCGCAGCGGGCGGTACTGGATGATCGACCAAGTCGAAGTTGTGCGATGAGAAAAACCCAATTTTCGTTCCTCCTGTTTCATATTCTGAGAGCTCAATTATATTTTGACTGAATAACCCAGAGACTGGATAAGCTTCCTCAAATGCCTCTTCCCAATCCGAGACGCGAAGTTGTGCCGTACTTGCAGAGTGTTCAAGTAACAGATGTATGGCATCGACTTGTCCAGATTTGCGGGCTTGTTTAATGGCCAACCCAATGGCCGAGTAGCCATTCACACCTTTCGCATCGACATCAACGCCAAAATTGAGCGAGAGTCGCATGATCTCCAAATCTTGGCGCATGACACCGATGTGTAAAGCAGTATTTGAATGCAGATCTTTGATTCTTGTTGCAGCAACCCGGAGCAAGGTATTAGCCAATGATGTTTGCGCCTTATCCAGTAGCAGCGTAAACGTTGTTCGATCGATACGACTTAGGAATTCCATAGTCTCCTGTTGGTCGTTCTCGATCGCGCACCATAGTGGGGTTCGCCCTTTTGTATCCACCATAGCTAGCCACTGTTGCTCTTCTCCAAGCAGAGAAGCTAAAACAGATGTCAATCCCAGTCGCGCTGCGACATGAAAGCCGCTTCCAGGGGGATCAAATTTCTGACTATAGCCTGGTCCCAGTGGCTTCTGGTGTAGTACTGATATGACCTGGGTTGCTGAGGCGATTTTTTCTTCATCCAACAGAAACAGGCGGACGAGATCCATCGGCAAATTTTGCAAACCATGGAGATGCTCCGCCCAGTGCTGTGCCGTATACTCATACAAAGCATGGTGTTCCAACCTTGACTCAAACTCGACATCCGTCTTACAAGGGCCATTCTTGAAGTCTTCCAAGATAAGATATACCAGACACCGTTTAGCAACCCTCATATTGGCATCCGGACACCAGGAATTCAGGGTTCGCAGGAGATAATCCGAAGCCGGAGGGTGCACGTCAAGGCAATTGCCGCCCCTGACGTCAACTAGAATATTGAAATCCTCGCACAGCTCCAAAACTTGTTCGTAGTCCGGAGCATCATCTGCATCCGACAGGGAGGTGTTTTGATCTCTTTGAAGGATGTGTCGCATCTCAGCTTCTCGCATAGGTCTCTTCACGAGGAGAAGCCACGCCAAAGTTTCTTTGGCAAAGTCCTGTTCGGCATCGTCGAGCTCTTGAATCCTCGCAATGAACCTATCATACAGCTCCCCGAGGAGGTCTCCGGTAGATGTCAGTCTAAGTTTTATTCTGGCGCCTCTCGTATTCATAAGTCCGTCCATGAGAAGTTTTGCAGCGAGTATCCTGGAAGCTTGTTAGACAAGCTTGTAGCTCAAAAGTGGTCACTCACAATCCGTTAGCGTCTTCAATAACTCTTTCTTTCACCAAAGTTTGTAGTATCGGTCTATTGCGAACAAATCTAGGCAAATCAGCCAGCCTTTGCGTGACGTAAGTGTCCAAGTCTTCTCCAGTGTTGGCGCCGGCAATCGATATCTGCGGAGCCTTGTGAAGCCTGCCTTTCGTGCCTGGACTGTGACGGGTAGTAAGGAATAATCTCAGATTATTCCTTCTCAGCTTGACAAGGCTCGAGCGCAGTGAGCCGCGATATTCGGTCATCTGGTCCAATTCGTCCACCACGACGTAGACCCGATCAAACTTGCTAATCACTTCAGGAAGTATTTGGGACACCATATCTACCATGGACGGGTATGGGTTTCTCTCACGCAGGGGATCCAAGACATCTTCCATGCGCGGTGGGCTGCGGCTACGCATATACGATGAGGCAAGTTGTTGTCCAAGCTGATATAGTAAGCTTCGTGACAGTTGCATCCCGTTACGTCTCCTTTCACCGGTGCCCACGTGAAGAAACGCAACGCCAACCCTACGTTCAAGGTTGTCCTGGTGCAGGAGCGTATCCACGACGAGAGACGCGGCTATAGTTTTTCCAGAACCGGGTCGTCCCACAAGGAGCAGAGTGGGTGGTCCATCGCTAAGCCAGCTCTCAAACTGAGATGTTTCCGGAATCCACTTGAAGGGTCCAGGAAGTCTTTCCGACCCAGGTCTTGTGTGTATTTCAGCACCACCATCATCGAGCCATTTCAACAACTGATTGACTTTAGCCTGATTAGGCTCCATTTTGGCCGCTCTGAAGCTCTAGCAATCAGCTACAGTATGCACGATCTACGCTGTTCCGTCGATAGATGGATGATACGCACGCCAAAATGTGATTATATGGCGTCAAAATGACACCACATTCTCAGTTTAGGCGGCCAAGGCTGAGGCTGGAAGGATGTGGTGTAGCACAGGTCGAAAGTCGATGTCACGATGAGGGGGACTAGCAAGGTCGATTCAGCAGGCGAAAACGCCGTAGTCGCATGCGTAGCGTGTAGGGAAGGGGAGAGTGGGGGGAAGGTGAATCGCGACGTTGTTTAGGTGTCCTAAAGGTGAGATGATGGCGCAGGGCAGCTGCTACGCCGATCATGAGTTGCTGCGACCACTTATCTGCAGGTGGCGCTCAACAACACCACAGCGGTCAGCCCCCCAGCGCTTAAGAAATCTGAAATATGACCGGAATCCACGCAACCAGTGGTTCAAAATTCTATTTTAGGCTACAATTGAAGGGTGATACATGCACTCGAGTTCGTCGCGGCGGAAAAGGTCGTCGGATAGTCTCTACCTCGAATCAGTCAGCGTTGCTGTCCACCACGATACAGAATGTGCCCTTGCGTCCGCTGGAGGCCTGATCTTGTATGGAAACGGTCCTTGGCCTATGCTTTAGTACATCGTTACTATCGCAGGTACTCACAGCGAAGGGCTATCATCATAGCAAATTTGGCATTCTCGGTAAAACTCGTGCGACTCATTTCGTCATGCGTGACCCTGTTCTTGAAAATCGCACAGCAGAAATCCATCCAGCGCCTTGCCATGCCATACACACTGAGACAAGAAAACGCAAATAGCAAGTTAGATGCCAGGAAAGACACATCTCACATTCACATCCTCCTGCCTCTATCCTCCTCCCCGGGACTCGCCGTCCCACTTCCATTCATCGACCCGTATCCATTGATCTCACTAGCATTTGGCATGAGTGTCTCCCTTGCCTCCTCAGCCTCCTCTTCAATGTTCTCCCGTTGAATCTTATGACTCTTGCGCCACACAAACGCCACAAGTGCGAGACCGACAAGCAGCGCCAAACTAAGCAATATAACGTTGATAGGTACAGGGTCGTTCTTGAAGGTCTTGTGCGTAGCGGCGTCGAGGGCAGATTGGGAGAAGTTAAGGACACCGGCAAGGCAAATGATAAGGCCGTAGACTTTGCCGAAGGTAGCGAAGCCAAAGACCTTCGCGGAATAATCGCTGGGAGAGGTGTTAGTAGGAGGTTTATATGTGGTGGGAAGGTGACTTACGAGACTGCGGTATAGTATAGAGGTCGGTATAGCACAAAGAGGATGATGTTGGCGTATGCAGCCCATGTCTCCGGAATCACTCCCAGTACTCCAATAGTTGTCGCTACAGTGACAAGTAAGGACAGCGTAAAGGTAGTGCTTGTGTTGTCGAGAAGCAGGCCAATAAATGGAACTGACAAGACACCGCCCACTGGAAGTGCGACATCGAAGAAGTTGTTGATCTCAACCGCCTTGTTGTAGTCATGGAAGAGGTAAGTGTACTGCGTCCGAATTGTGGCGACAAAGTAGTTGATACGCGTCATCTGGAGGACAGTGAACAGCGTAATAAGAATGAACCAAGGAGTGCGGATCTGTTGGCTGGCGGTGCGACCGTGTAGCGCTCCCCAAACACCTGAGATATTCTTCTTCTTGTCTTCCTCTTGGGCTTGCTTCTTGCCGTCTTTGGTGCCAAGCAAAGATGTGATCTCGCTGACGATACTCTCGCGATGTGCTCGTCGCGCATCCTGTATGCTTCGAACCGTCGCGGCATCTTCGATCTCGTCGTCAGAGTCGTGGATGACTTGCTCCTCCTCTGCACTAGTAACGAGTTCACCAACTGTCTTGTAAGACACCGATGGCATGAAGAGGACTTGCACCGCAAGGATAAAGGCCGGAACGATAAGATAGATAAGGAAAAACTTCTTGATCGAGAAGTTACCGTCTGTACCTTGGTAGATAAGTCGGTACATCAGAAAGATCGCGCTCGAGGTATCGAAAGCTCCAGTCAAAAGTGCCAAGATCAGTCCAGAGTATTGCGGGAATGTGTTACTGAGTTGGAACGATGAAATGAAGATGAACGGTCCGCCCAACGCCATGAACAGATATCCAGGGATATAACCATCAAGGGGCAATTCCTTTGCGAACGCGAAAAGCAATGCGCCAATCGTTATAGATATCGCCCCAGTTATACCGCACACGCGTGGTCCGAAGCGATCGAGGATTGTACCGACAGGAAGCGCGACGACGTTCGTGGATACAGCGGCAATCGTGAACATGAGGTTGAGCCGGAGCTCCTGTTCGTAGCAGACGTGTACATCTTGATCCAGTTCTTCCTTTGTGCAGTAATCTCTGTATACACCCTCCTCAAGCAGTACGGGTTTTATCGCGGCGTAACCGAAGACGACACCGGCGGCGAAGAGGCAGTAGATAACGGCGAGTAAGACCTGGACTACGCAACATTAGCTTCTGTGTGCCCATGCCATGCAGCATATGATACATACGCAGTCTCTTCCACTTGGGCACTTCGAATGCGCCTATTGTTGGCTCTTCGCCAGTTTGCTCCGTCCATGTGCCGACTGGGTTGAAGCTCATTTTCCGGTGCCTAGAGTCCGGGCTTGCCTCTCTACTCCACGGCTCATGCTCCTCTATCGACGTCACTCGTTGCGAGAGCGACATGGTGGGCTAAATTCCTCCTCTCTTACAATAGAAAATATCGATGTATTGCCCTCAGATGAGAACGGAAGTTGTAGTCCAGAAGCTCTCCAGCTGGCGTTTGAAGTTCACCCGGGTATGACGTCGCAATCTTTCTTTTCAGGAACCTCGGCGCAAGCAATTGGCCAACCAAACTACCTTGACAAAAGCACCACGGAACTAAAGTCCGCGATTGAGTATCCCGTGGCGCACAAAGTTATGGGAAGCAGGGTCCTATATACCACAAGTACAGCGTCGAATGGCGCAAAGCGGGGACTTGCTGGCCTGCAGCCCGGGTGCATGAAGGCGCTGACAATCCGACGCGCTGGTTCGCGCGTGATCACAAATGCTGGGCTTTAAGGATTCTATTACGCAGTTTTATACCACGTGTGAGCTGTAACTGTGAGAGTAATGCGCTCATACTGACGATCTATATTCAATCACACGCAGGTTTCTGCACTCCAAAGTTTGCCTTTGTTGTGAAGATGGGATACTGCGAAGCTCGATCGTGAAGCTTGCTGCCAGCTACAACCAATAAACGCGCGAGTCAGCCGCGGACAGGAGCTTTGGTAACCGTGCAGATGAGATGCCATCAAGCATCAAATTTTCTTCCTTTCCACCTCCACATGTTCGCTGAACGCCGATGCACGATGGACGCCTCCTGCGGGCGCTTTCCGATGCAGAAACATTCAAGTTTGCGAGCACGAGTGCGACTGCAGAGTTTTCTATTGGCTTGCAAGGGGTGGGAATGTATATTTCCGCCGGAAAAGTCTAGACTTCCAGGATATACACTTGGCTATCGTCCCTTCGTCCCTTGAAGTTTCAAGGATTTGGCCTTCGAGGAATACTAGGGCTGACATTCCGGGTTCTGAGGCTGGTATACCCAAGATTGAGATTCCCGGCCCCTCCGGACAGTTTAGGCCGTGGACAAAGACGCTGTCATTACATACCAACAACATCACTTCCAGACATGCTATCGTTCCATGCGGTCGCAGAAGGAGCCTCGCTGAACGATAAGATTCTTGTGGGCCGCGTTGAGTAGCTTATCCTTTCCTTCCACTTCACCTCTCCAATGCAAGAAAGCAGGTAGATGCATAACCTTCGGGCACCACCACAATCGAAGAAAACAAAGTCAATTTCTCAAAGTACGACCAAACGAGTGGACTAGGCTACAAGACACCTCGCATCCACCATAATATCATGCCCAACCATATCTGTCAACTACCATCTGTCGTCCAATTCCTCGTCATTCATCCAAGTCATGATCCCAAGCAATCTTGTAGGCTGGGCGTGATTGTTCACAGAACCGACGATCTGTGAAAACAGGAGTAGTGCTTTACTCAACGTCGACGGCGTCGATCTTCTTCTGAGGCTCACGCTTCTCAACGTCAACTGCGTCGATTTTCTTTTGGCGCTTCTCAACATCTACAGCATCAATCTTCTTTTGACGCTTCTCGACATCGACAGCATCAATCTTCTTCTGGGGTTCGCGCTTCTCAACGTCGACTGCGTCAATCTTCTTCTGGCGCTTTTCGACATCGACGGCGTCGATCTTCTTCTGAGGTTCGCGTTTCTCGACGTCGACAGCATCGATCTTCTTTTGGCGCTTCTGTGCAGGGGGAGGTACGAAGTTAGCTTATGTTTTGCGTAGGTTTCGTAGTGTTATGGCTCACCTCAACGTCAACGGCATCGATCTTCTTCTGACGCTTCTCGACGTCTACGGCGTCAATCTTCTTTTGGCGTTTCTCAACGTCAACTGCATCAATCTTCTTCTGCCTCTTCTCAACGTCGACGGCATCGATCTTCTTCTGTCTCTTCTCAACATCCACAGCGTCGATCTTCTTTTGACGCTTCTCAACGTCGACTGCGTCGATCTTCTTTTGAGGCATTCGCTTGGCAAGCCCAACTGGAACGATAAGGTTGGTTAGAAAACTTTTAACACTACCCAGGTCGTGTGGCTTGCTTACTGGGTTCGACGAGGCCAAGGCCATTGGCGTCTGCAACAGGTAGTGCAGAGACGAGAGTGGTCATGCCCATCAGGACAGAGAGAATGGTAGTCGACTTCATATTGATGGATGAGGGGAAGGACGGATGATGCTAGAAAGATCGTGTCGGAATGTGAATTGATGGTTCGTTTCGTTGTGATGGTGTTCAGCCGGTTGTAGGATGTTCTTCTTATGTATGACGAGGCTGTCCAGCCAGTCTGCACCACCAAGGACCTAGGTGTCGATTCGGCAATGTTCGAACCCAACTCTCCCGAGCCTTACTCACTGGTACCCTCATTGTGTCTTACTCAGTGCAACTTTGGCTTACCCTTACTCTACTGAACATCCGCAAGACTCAGTGATGGTTTCGGGTAATGTCTACATGCTGAAGTTAGGGTAAGCGATTACCTTACGGATTCTTTATTCTTACCATGACACAGGACGTGACTGATCGCTTACGCGAATGGATGATGACTGTTCATAGACAGCTAATCATCGGACCTTACTCAGCACGGACCAATCACTTTTACTCTGTTACTACAGCCTTGTGGGGTCTGCGTAAGCATCGACACTAGTCATTAGTCACAACGAATGACGACGTATCTCGCTGCTCTGGGTGGAACATCTGTTCACACGTCTATCACATATGGTTCGAGTTAGCGACGAATAAATTGAACGTCAAGAACACGAGCACTAGTGCGATCCCTTCTATAGGCCAGAATGAAAACATTCAGTATTGAGACCGTGCATATAGTGGTGTTCGAGTTTAGTTCCAGTGCATGTTCACAGTACTGCGGACGTGGACACGATGATCTTGCTAGCCCATCCATCAAGCAAGGATTAGAACACGGGTGTCTCGCTCTGGTCGAAGACGTGCATATATTCCCGAGAGCGAGGCACTGGTTTTAAAAAGTCATGCTTTGTACAAAACAACAAGTTGCCTGAACTTCGTTTAGATTTCATTTTCTGGAAATAACGGCGACGATGGCCATGTTAGACTGGTATGGTTGTGGAGACGTGCTTGATTATAAGCTATCTCGCCATTCGAGTGTCGCTGGGATCTTCCGCACTCGAACATTGAGTACCGAATCCTAGGAGGCAATGCTACCCTTGCTAGATCCCTCTTCGAATGATTCAGGATCCCTCAGCTTCTCTTCCTCGTCTCCAATCACAAACGGATCGTATTCCTCGCCTTCCACATGCCCATAGCCCTTCTTGTTGTCGGTGCGCTTCGCAAACATCATCGTACCCACTGCCAGCATCTCAATGGAAACCACCATTGCCCAGAGCCATCGTAACGTGATGCTCTTCCTTCCATGTAAAAGCCCAAGGAAGACATTGAGGTTCAAAGCTAGAAAGAGGGCGCGGCCAAGATAAACATGAACCAGGGAAGATCTAGTCCGCTCTCCGTACTTGACGTAGTTCATATGGTGTTTGTAACCGAATGTGATCTGAACCGGCACTGCGACAGCGATCGCAAGACCAATCATCTTGTGTATCGACGTGAAACTTCCAATCTTCGAGATGTTAGCTATACATGAATGCTGTCGACGCCATTGACCACATACCTGAGATAGGTGTGTGCTTTTCATGACACCAATGAGACAGCCAGCTAACAGACCAGAGGCAGAGAGTGCTTGCACGAGCCAATGACCACGAAACGCCCACTTAAGTCCGCTACGGATCAAGAGAATTCCAATACAGTTGAGAACGACTGCAAAAGATAGTATCGCTCCATGCGCGTCCCACATGTTGATGGAGGAGCGGATCACTGGTGTATGAAGCTCGGAAGAGCCCAGAGCATGAGTCGAAGAACGATCGCCAGTGATTATTGGATACTCCTCGGCCTGGTTTGTGGATATCGCATGCGCCATGTTGAGGAAATTGAGACCTTCGTCACAGTCAGATAGTGCTTTTTCAGGATTAAAAGAGTTATAGCTTACCATAATCTGTATGCATATCCATCCTCAAGTTTGGGTCGTTGGTTCTGGTCTTTTGTATAGAGCTGCTGGCAAACAACCATGGTTGTTGTTCGCTAGTAGCGTTCAGTGGACCTAAACCGACCGTCTCACACGAGTAACAAGTGGCCTGCAGGACATGGAAGCCATTCTCATCAACTTCCGTCCTATGAACGTGAACCTGTCTCTGATTCTTGAGCGGATGTGGTGCGTCGTGTCCAACTGTTGAGCGCAATGACAAGACAGTGTCTCCGCAATCTTAGCAAGTCCTTATACGGGTATTAGATAACGAGGCAACTCACCACCTTCTTGTTCTCCTGGCCATAACACAAACATCAAAGCTCGATCCATGATCTCTCCAACTCCAAAGGCTGCCCAGCCGTTACGTTGATGGAACTTGACGGAAAAGGTCATGAGCAAATCATGTCCTCTTGCATGCTGCGATTTGACAGTCTTTATTGCCATGCATGCATCCGAATATAGCCCTGAGTCGATGTGGCATATTTGCACTGGGTCTGATGCTCTGCAAACATTGATTACGGCGAAAAGCGATGTGATGAACAAGTTGAGTCGCTTCATAGTTGCTGAAAGTCCTTGCGTCAAGAAGGAGGTTCAAAATCTCGTTTGACTTTTCGATGTAATGCAGAGTGAAGATGGTGTGTTCCCCAATCTGATCAAGAAAGCTAGCTTGAAATGGTCAATTGTGGGGCTGTAGTCAGCGTCTCACGAAACAACTACGGCTGACTATGGCAAGACAATGGGCGCACGCACTCGATGACAACCGAGGATTTTAGTTCGCACAGAAGCAATAGAACGATGTTCCTGGGGAATGAGCCTCTAGACACTTGCATACATCCGCTCGACCTTTGAGTATTCCGATCCCTTTTTGCGATAGCTCCTCCTTTTTCGCCCAAAGTCATACCATTCTCAACGCGCCAAAGCGCAAGTGATATGTCTCCAGTTTACTCGAACTTTGTCGACAGTCCTATCGGCGTGGTAAAAACCATGATCCACTCGATTCTCAGACGCCCTGCACCGTACCCGAGTTTTGCATCATCCTCTACTTCAGACCAAAACGAAGACACACCAATCCGACCCAACAAACACGAACTGGATGCAAGACCTGGTGAAAGACGATCGTCATATGCACTATCACCCTACATTATCAACATTTTGTTGGCAGTAGGACTGACAGTTCTTGTCGGATTTGTCTTCCGTCCTTTTCCACCGCATGGTCCTAAGATGAAGACATTGAGCTGCGGATCTAACCCAGCTGAGGCACGCAAGAACGGCTGCACATACGATGTGCTAGGGAATATCTGGGTTCCTACTCCCTGTCTGGACACGGAAAATCTCGCCGAGTTCAAGCGCATGGCTCCCTGGCTGGCATATGACTCTGCCAACGCTACTCGTCAGCTCACAGAGGAGGAGATGTCGGAATACCTCATACCAGATGGATATTGGACACCAGTGCGTGAGCACATGATTCATTGTGCTCTGATGTGGAGAAGATTGCATGACGGGTTTGAGAAGAACGGAAGGTTGTTGGATAAGCATGTTATCCAAATGCACCATACTGAGCATTGCAGCCAAACTTTGATGGAGCATCTTGATATGCCTACTTCCTTCCTCGACGAGATACGTACTCGAACAGAAGCCGGGTATTCCAGTTGTCAGGTTCCTGCTTAACTTGTTCGACGCAATTGTATTTAGTTATCATCCTAGGCAGCGAAGGCCATTTGAAACGTAGCTAGCCGATTTGCGCAAATTCAAAACGAACCTTGTGAAGCAACGAAATGAGTAAAGGAGAGAGTTCTAATGAACAGCAGTATGAATTGTGCGTGGACGTGTGCAGAGTGCGAAAGTTGGCTGGCTTTGATTACAAAGCGCAGTCTCGGTACAGTGCGTGACGGCTTAAGTCGAGATCGGAGATACTACTCAGAAGCATAGCGGAGAGTACGCGCACCGGGTTTGGGTATGTGTCGACGAGTGGTCAGGTTACGGATGGTTGTTAGTTTGGTCGTTGTGTCGTAGCTGGGTTGGTGAGCGCAGAGCTCGGGGTGGGCTCTATTTTCTCCGGCGCGTCCATGGGGTCGCTGTTCAGCGCAACGCTGCGCCCAACGCTTGCCAGCCCGCCTATTTTGCCATCACTCAACCACGAAGTCATCTCGATCAAAGTAGGCATTTCTAGTCTAAGAAGACTCACTGATGATTCGCGCAATGTCAAAGATAGTAAGCAATGCTGTGCATTTGGTTCATGGAACGCTGGGTCAGCGCCACCGCAGATTGAAAGCCGCCTGGAGAGACAGGCCACACTGTCAACTGATGGTGATGACAACACTATCAGCAACGAGAGTAAAGACACTAGATCTGATGCGAATAGGTGAGTTTCGTGTCTTACACGTATGATTACTATACCCTTGTAGTAAGCTTTTCTTCCCCTGGAGCTCCGTCACTGGCTGCGATGGGTGGAGACCGTGCAGTAACTTCACGTGGAGTGCTGGTATGCTCGTTCCAGTATTGCAGCTCGAATCATCTTATCTGAGGATCAAGACCTCACCCGACACGCTTTGGTCATCAAATTACATGGAGAAGCTACAGATAGCTGAAGGCGTGGCCTCACAATCGTTGGAAGAGGAGGGACGTTCATGTTTACCTCTCACGGCTTCTGAGGGCGGCTTTACACCCTCGACCGCCTGTATGATGGGTGCCAGAACTCTCACGGAACGATCAAAACAGGGGTCTCGACAACTGTCCACTGCATCACTCGTAGCCATGGCATGTGGATTTGGAGGGTACGTCACATATCGAGGTGATAATGACATTCTTGCAACTAACTTCAAGCTGCAGCTTACAGATTCTTTGGTCCACGATCTTCTCCCACGGCTCATCCTACCTGTTTTCTCTCGGTATATCCACAACCCAATCATCGCTCATATGGGCAGTTGCACCACTCTGTGGGTCAACCATTCAACCTATCATGGGTGTCATCAGTGATCGATCACGTATTGCATGGGGCCGACGAAGACCATTTATCCTCGGCGGAGTGCTATCTACCATCTTTGCAGCCACAACATTAGCCTGGTCTGAGCCAATTTCGGTAGCGGTCTGCACGCTCTTGGGC